GATCAGCTAGAAGTCGTTCAGGAATTCAAGTGCCTAGGCAGTTATATTAGCGCCCGTGGGATCGAAGATGTTACGAACCGTGTTGCTTTTGCCAATCTTCGCCATCGGTGGCGCAGACGCGACATTACTCTCGCCCTGAGGTGTAGAGGTGTCCGTTCAACTCTTCTGTATGGTTGTGGAATTTGGCCCATCACGTCGATAGACATGAAGAGCCTCGTCATATTCGATCATCCTTGCCTTCGTAGCATAGCGCGTATCTGGTGGTAGCACCGCGTGAGCAATGCGCGTGTTCGCCGCCGCGTATTTGGTGCAGGAAAAGCTAGTGAACCGCTCAGCGCCATTATATCACGCACGAAGATCCGATGACCGGGAGATGTGTTACGCATGCCAGCACACCGACGCTCGCGACGTGCGTTGTTTGCGCGCCGGGGGTGCGGTTGAGAGAGGGGAAGGGGAGGCCAAGCGATCACTTGGTCGAGGGGAATAAAAACATTACAAAACTGGCTTCGGCTGGTGCATCCAGACTGCATGGCTTGGGTCCTAAGGATGATGAACACGTTCTACTAGTAACCCATCAAAGCCTCAGCTACACTGGACTCCAAAACCTTGGAGATCACAGGAAGTAGTGTTATTGGGCGATAATTTGCTGGTTCTGAACGAATGCCACTTTTATAGATTGGCATGATAATTCCGTGCTTCCACATCATGGGGACTTGTATCACGTTCCGACATCGCTGAAATAAAATTGCTAGTGGCGCCGCCAAATTCATGGCAGCAACTTTCAACGCCTTCGGGCGAATGCCGTCCGCACCCGGAGAGCTGAACTCGCGCAGAGACATCAGCCTCTTCAGCACAGCTTCGGAGGTAAACGGTATGTGACTAAGCCCTGATAGCGGCATTATCTGCTTAGGCAGGATGCATGATGATTGCACGCTTTGGAAGGTACGGCCAAATTGTTGTCCCAGAATGTTGGCCGCCTCTTGTGCTGTTTGAGCTAACCCGCATGCCGTGTGCAGAACAGGAATACCCCGCTTAACAAGATGCAAATTATTTACCTGCCTGTATAGCAGATTGGGATTGGAGCGAAACACTTCTACTAGACCTTGTTGGTTCTTCAGTTTATCCCCCTGGACGAGTTTGACACAGTGGTTTCTGTATTGTGTAGACTTCTCAAGTATCCTCGTTCGGGGAGGCTACGTATGTGTGTCATGCTAAGCCCTTAATGCCATGCATTTACGCCTCCTGCTCCTTACGAAAGAATTCATCCATTTAGGCCGGTAGCGTTTGATTTCAGATGTGCTTGCCACAAACTTGTTAAACATGTTGACGAATTCTCCGCAGGCCACCGCAGGGGTCAGTTCGGCTAAGGACGACCAGCTTGTTGTATCACTGTCGGACAGGTCGTCATAGTTGGTTACGACATGATATCCCCTCGGCATGCTCTTTAGTATAATCCGCGTAGCACATGTAATGTAACACTAGCTTTGCATGATCGCTGAGGCCCAGGGAAGTATCGGTTATCACGCTCTCGAATCGTTTATGGATTCGCATTGTAGGTTGTTACGAAAGTAGAGGGCCACCCCACCACCTATGCTGGCTCGATCCTTCCGGACAACGGACATGCCTGTTAGCGCGATTACAGCATCCGCTATCTCACAGTACAACCACGTTTCGGTGACAACGATGCGGTCCCCAACTGCTGACGCGTGTCGAAGTTTTAATTCAGCTAATTTGCTGAGTAGATCTTGGGCATTTGTGTACATGCATGAGAGCTTCTCGGAGACGAAAAGTGTGTTAGAGTGGATGGATGAAGCAAGTGAGTTTACGCCGACCAATAAAGGGTCGGTGACTAATCGTTTTTTTTGGATGGGTTGCAGACTCTCGAGACGAATTTGGTATGTAGTCAAGTATCAGACTCCACGGATCCCGGTGTTTGCTCGTGCTCTGCTGTGTCCCTCCGGATATTATTGCTACAATTGAAACCGTCACCGAGTCGGGCCCTGCAGTTGCCGTTTTGTTTAAGAGTTGTGCCTCTACTGAATTGTCATGAGAAGGTACTGGTGTTCCCGCTGCTTTCAGACGAATCTCTGTTGGCAATCTGTAACGGAATTTAGTCCAGTTCTTTAGTAGGGTTTGTGCCGTTATTTATGATTGTAAAACAAGTTTTAACAGCCTGGGACCGCACCCCTTATAGTTTGGAGATATGGGGATCCTTGTCAACGAAGTGGCCACGAAATTTTCGAGAGAAAGAGCCTCCCAGATGTAGTGCCATTGCTCGCGGTCGTGCAACTGAGCATCGTCAGAAGAGGAATCAGTAAGCTCAGAAACATCGTGAGCAATCACTGCTTTCTTATCGACTTTTTCTGTACCACGCTTTGTTGACGGGATTCCCTGAACGTTATTTCCACGGGATTTCGGGTAGTATGCACACTCCACTTGAGTCGTTGCGGAGAAGATCCGCAGACAGCAGAACGGCCTCAGTCTCGTCCGCCGAGTTTAGCGTTACCCGAAGTAACCGGGGTTCGCCGTAGTGCAACGCGTTTGGGTGACGCGAGATTCTTTTTAATGTCGTTGGATTAGCATGGACACCGATCGACGTACAGATGGAACCCCAGTGATTTCGATCGTCTGTCAACTTACCCTTAATTGTATTGCATTTGGATTCGGGGACATTTGTGCATACAATGTTCAGGGCACCATGGTTGCGCCTGGTGGCTACTGGTTTTGGATTTGGAGGCTTAGTATCCGGTGTTTTTGGTGAAGTTGTGAAAGGCGCTGATGGGTGCCATCCGTGCTGCGACACTTTTGTTTTCTCTAGCCCGGGTACCAAGGTTACCGGTGCTCTTTCCGGTGTTTGCTTGGCGGCAACCGATGCGTACGTTGCCGGGTTGTTCACTATTGCTGGTTGAATGTAGCTTACGGTCCCGTGTGTGGCGAACAGACTACTACGTGCAGCACACAGTACAGAAGTTGAGGCAGGCGCTGCAGGCAATGATTTTACTTATAGGATGGAGAGAGAATGGAGTTGATACTGCTGAAGGCTGACTCCTTGGGGCTAGGTTGGGACGTCTGGCTCGCTTCTTCGGCCTGACTATAAAATTCGGAGTGGTATTTTCACACACAAATGCAGGTCCATTTCCTCCCAGTGGCACAATTCTGGCGGTCACCAGTTGCTCGACCGCTACTGTTAGTCTTTCACACCTCTTCATTAGCACAGCTAGACAGCTAGCAAATGGGATAGAATTGCATACTTAACAGAACCAAAACGCCTCTGCCGTGTTTCCTTGTGTCGAACCCGTCCCAAGGCAGGTAGTGTGATAGAATTTCAAACACCTGGTACACACCAGACCATTTTTGCCACTTTAGCACATGATTCGCATTTGCTCTTCATACGAGACATGTTCACCGTAGGCGTGCTATTGTATGGAGTAGCAGGAGGACAGAGATATTGAAGCACCGTGTTTGAATTCGCTTTACTTTGCGTTGCGAGGCTATCGGCGCTGGTTTGAGGTCAGCGGGGTCAGGCATGTCGCGTCCAGATGAGTCACATGCTCCTTAGGGTAGATAGGCGACGTGCGTGCTATCGATCCAGCCTTTAAATAGATAGGCAGCGATGCAGCGTAGGCTTGACGCAAAGCAAGATGACTTATAAAATACTGTCTAATGACGACAGTGGCTGTTCAAAGAGCGGACCAAATTGACGACTATCCCTTTGCACAGCGACTTGAAGGAATGGTAGTAAGCTGATCAAATAACCCTCAGAAAGATCTTTAAACTAAGACTGCAAGAGTTCCTGGGCAAGGAGAGGAAAAATAAATTCTCCAATAAGGTTCAAACACCGTTGAATTTGAAAACGCAAAAGCACAGTTTGCTGCTGATCCGCGAAAGATAGACCCAGTAGATGAAGAGCAGGAGGAGGAGCTCGCGAGGCCAAGTCGGATGTTAGCACGCAGGTATCTGTGCTGCTGCTGCTGCTGCTGCTGCTGCTGATGATGATGATGATGATGATGGTGACTAATGCCCCATGTCCTGCTCTCCATAAAACACAAAACGTTGGCATTACGTCACAGGAAATATATAGCATAATACACAGCTTCGATAAAGACTAAGCGATCAAATGCTTTCGAAAAGTCCAGGAAGATGACCTCGACTCCCGCTCCGCCATCAAATGCTTCGGTCCAGGTGATATGTGCAATTAATAGGTTGGCATACCTGAGCGAATTTGTTGGAAGCCATATTGTTCCGGAGTTATAATGCTGTGGTTTTCGTGGAATTGCTTCAATGCATCTATGCTTATGAATTCCATCGAACTGGAAAGCACAGTCAGGTAGGGTCAGTACGACTACCTGCCTTACGAATAAGAGTGATAACCCCACGTGTGGGGTGATATGGCACTAGCTAATGGCTGATCTGTCGTATATCACCACATACCAACTACATCAACAGTCAATCATACGTCTTACTGTGAACGGTAGAACGCAAAAGTAATTTTGCCCCGATTATTCGTTTATTATTAGCATCTTTTTACCTTAATAAGTGAGGGTGCTACCGCACAGTAACCGCACTCAACGCCGGATAATCTGCTTGGCTTCACATACCCAACTCTCCATCTAGCCGGTTGTGTGCTGTTTATTGGCTTACTGTACCATGACGAAAAATGCACTTTTTATTGGAGCTCGTCCGCTTACTTGATAAGTGTGAATGTGTATATTGCAGAAAAACGTAACACAAAGTTACCGTGAAAGCTAACGTCTGGGATGACGTAACGACGCGGTGCACTGAAGCATGCAGACGGTGATGAAGTCATACCATCCAACACTCATACAAGCGAGTTGAACTTTTATGCAAACCTTGAAATTTCTAGGAGGCAGAAATAATAACGACCCCTTTGTGACACTTTAACATATCCGATGGCTATTAGTGAATTAATACAAAATACACCGACCACACGGGTCAGATTTGTTCCGCTAATGTACTCATCCTATGTTCATCTCAATCAGGTCGAAAAATGTATCAGAAGGTGCTAGCGGGCCGAGTAAACCCAGTGCTGGATTCAAATAACTCTTGGGATTCAAACGGACATTTGGTTCATGAGCCACCGGACAGCGATGAGTCTGTAGTTGGGAGTTCTGAGAAATCACCCATTTGTTTAACTGAACAGCTAGTCAAGGTAGACACCGATGTCAACCATACGGAAAGAAATTCCGACAGCGGAATTGGCTCATGCACCCCAGAAGCAGAGTTTGCCAATGAACCTTCAACTTCTGACAGTCACGAAAAGCTTAAAAGGCCATCTACAGTATTAAATTCTATTGCGACTATGAATTATATCCCTGATGCCGTGGACATTTTCGATCTCTCCAATGAACTGACTAATAAGTTGACGTGCGTTGGTTCGGGAGAAAATCACAGCTCAAAAAGCCTTTCAACCAGCCAGCCCCCTTCGTGGATAAAATCCAAAGCATACAAAAAAATTGAACGCTTACATCTTCAGAACAAAACAGATGTCCGAAAGTTATCAGGGTAGGTTAACGTCGGAAACAAATATTTCAGTTTTATTAAATTGCAATCAGCTTTGTTCTTGCTAATGTAGAATGATATTGCTTTCATGAGCCGTAACAACGTTACTAAAGCCGCTTGTTTAGCATTGCTGCGTGTCAACTTAACCTTGGGTATGTCACTAATTAGAAACGGAGTTACAGCACTATATAAGGTATGTGCAAGAATCACCATTTCATGAACTAGCGTTGGAAATTCTAACGAAAATTCTAACGACTGTGCAAGCCTAGTGGAGCAGCAAACTCTGCTAACTTGGGCGCCTTTGCGGACGATTGGTTGTGTTTGATATCCCGAAGAGCACGTCATTCCTGTAGTTGGCCGCTGCTCAGTTTTACTCTATCATCTATCTCAGGCAATAAGTTAAACTGGGAACCGTTAATCCAGATTTCCTATCCCTACTGCAACACTTTCATCGGGAAAGGGCATGATTGAGTCTGATCGCTTACATTTTGGTTGTAAGATAAAAAGCGATATAGAAGCAAGTTGTGCGACTCAGTGTGAGATCCACCCAACTTGACTATAGGTTTTCCATCGATCAAACTACCACATGGAGTTCAGCGGAAGAAGAAAATAAACCGATACTCTAGTTTGAAATGGTGAATAAGGCCCGTTTCAGTCATGAAAAGATAGCCAGGCGAACACGCACATTTTCGATGATTCATCGTCGGATCAAATATAAAAAAATTTTAATAGTTAAGATACGAAAGGGTGGATTTGGTAACTAGAACAAGTGGGTGTCAAAATGCCCAAACTGGGTGTGGTTTGTTCACGCGGAATCTGTCTGGACTACAGCTGGTCATGGTAAAATCAAGATCTTGACGAATTGTTTATACGCATACAGCCGGGGGGTTGTTGAGATGAATCGCGGTCATTTACACCAGTGTAAGTATTTGTCATCTGATAAGCTTGCAATGGACACCCCTCAGTCGCTAGATCGAGAGGAAGGCTTTTGTGATAGCGAAAGGATGATTTGTTTGGACTAAGTGCGCTAAATATTGCGATAGGGCACGTTTCGTTCAATCCTCGCCTTAGCAACGCTGGGCGATGCTCGCGCACGTGTCGGACAAATGTCTCGTGGTGCGACCTATGTAACTTCTCCCACAGGAACAGGTAAATTGGCACACACAAAAGGAGCCGATATCCACAGACAGTTTATCCTTCATCTGGAGGTGTATCATGCGCGTGGAAGTGAGAATAATCTTTCGTAATTTGTCGGACGCTCAGACGTTAATGACCGCCGCTTGTAATCGTTTGCTAAGGTGGCCGGAACTCTTGTTTCCTTGAAACGACAACGACAAGTAGAATGGTTTCTTTTCTACCGTGAATAGTAACGGTCAGTCAGTTTGCATATTACTCTCAATGAAGACGTCGAGATAGCCGTTATTGAGGAACACTTTTCTTATTACAACGCGATGTGCTCCAATGGTGTCCTCAGAGCATATTTTTATTGCTGTTCCGACAAGACACCGGACTAGGTTCTGTTTCTGTCGAACTAGAACAAAGCTATCAAAATGAGTATATAAACCCGTTCATGTCACTCTCCTGTGGGTTCCACACTGCAGCGAGCCATCTGATTGACATGGCCTGTGAACATACAGGAAAGCCGTGCCTTCGTTTGACCCGGATTGCATGCAAAATTATACGTTCCCATGGGCACGAGTGAATTTCCGTGATAGTTCAACTTGATCCACTGAGCCGTCAGCTATGCACATCATGTAATCGACATAGCGTTTGTAGATTGGCATCCGTTCAACCATTTCACTCAGCGGACCATTCTCTAGTTTAGCGAGCAAGGGACACAATGATGACCCCACAGCTAGCTCGGCTTTTTGTCGGTATGACTGTCTGACAAAGCGAAACTAGACGTGGGTACACAGATGAAGCACCGTCTGCAATTTTTCCACCGTTGAGCCAATTCATTTACTTTTGCGCTCGATGTATTCGGCAAGGTGATTAGTAGTTCCTCTAACTAGGATTTTAGTAAAGAACGACTTCATATCTAGCGAAAATAGTCGCTTGTTATGCACATTTTGAGCCCTATTGCTACCGACGAACTCGAACAGGTTACCAGAACTGTTAGTTGATAATTCTTTTCTTGTTGGTACCAGTAGTTTGGCCTACCACTTTGCCAACATATGACGCGGCGTGTTACTCATATCTAATATGTGTAGTAAAGGGGCCTCGTCCTTTATGTATTTTGGGTAATCCGTACAATATGAGAATAATGGTGTCGACGAGACGAATTCTTTCGGAAGTCAGAGGATCCATCAGCCTATTTTGTTCCATCTGCCTGAGTGATTTAAATATGGCCTTTTCAATCGTTAAGAGTTTATCTTATTGAACCTTTTCATAAACTTTGAGGGCCACCAATTAATACACTCATTCTGTCATTTGGTCGTTTTTGTCATTTGGTTCAATCCTGTTACCAGTATTTGACCCACACAACGACAGCCTGGAAGTTGCTGAACGAGGGAGCGCTTTGACAAACTAGAAACACGTAGGGCAAAGGAGTAGAATATGCTGTCGTTGCCAGACAAAGGCGAAGGGATTGTTACTAGCGAAAGACCTGTTGAATTAATGTTTAGAGGTGGAGCACCTAGTAATAAACACCACCCTAAGAATGGGCAACCGGAGAGTATCATCTGCCCTCTCGACTCCCTTGACAATACTTCCTTTTCTCGTTTCCCGCCATCCTAACTCTTCCTCCCGTATATTGAGCGACAGAATGCCGCCAACCTGGTAGCTGGTGCCAACGATACATGTAGCTCTTCCATAAAACCCAGAGTTCCGTTCCACATTGGTTTTCGTAACAGAAACATTCTGAATATCGATCATTTAAGAGTACAAATGCTCACTCTTCACTATCTTTGTATTGATGTGTTATATCTGCGAAGCAGCCATACCAGATAACAGCGTTTTGATGAATTTGCGACTTTCTGGTTCTGAATCTGACGAAAATGACTACGTTCTTCGCGTCGCTGGTGATACTGCGTCCATGGCTCAAGGTATTTACGGTGTTGTTGTCTTTGGAGGGTTGCCTGTACCGGAAGCCCAGAGGGCGATTCGAGAAGACGGCTCGAGTTGCAGGGAAACTTTTATTGGTACAGTAAAAGATTCCCTGTTATCTAGCTATAAAGGAACGACACCGTGGACGCTCTAGCTAGGGGAATGGAGCAAACACAGCACACAGGGCAGTTGCGTGTTGCAACCGAAACGAGCGCCAAGCAAAAATGGCGATGAGCAAGTCAATCATTCGAACTCAGCAAGCAGTTCAACAAACCACCCCGGTTGCCTAAGTGTACAATGAAATAATTTTAGTTAGAATTTTACACTGGCAAACCGGTGAATCTCCAGACTGCTACATGTCGCCCTTAGCAAATATGATGAAAGCGTTCTGCTCTACTGGATGCTGGTGAACAGCTGCATGTGTGCGGTTCGACTTCTAACCTCCACTGGATTTAATAATGAACAGTGATATATTACAGTTAGAAAAGAGATTGCTTTACAAGTCCCGTATGATGGTTGACGTGAAAGCAATATAAGTGTAAAGCGTCAATTTAAGCGTCTAGCGATTCAGATACCCCTTCTTCATATAAACATTTTTGAATGCGTATTGAATTGTTACTGTAGAGTAATCTGGGGAAGTAATATGGGGAAGGTATGTCTTCAGAACAAAAGAAACGACAGCGCTTACTCGTGCGCCGCATTGTTAGACTGACGTTATTGACGAATTCAGTTGTAATGTATCCGAAAAGATATTCCACAGCGGCAGCACAAAAGCTGAGAATGAACACCGTTTGTTCTCGTTTGGTTGACGTAGACATCACCAATTATATAGCGTAATCTAAGTGGATAAGTGAATCATCCAGACGTCTTTTGAATACCGTTAGCGTGGGGAAGAAACAACGTATGTGGTAAGAGCGTTCCAGTGTTGGCACACACGAAGGGAAAAGAAATTCCGGCGGAATTCCAATCGGATGTATTGTGTGGCCAGCTTTAGCTGGTGTCCTCTGAGTGTGATACTGCGATTCAGTTTTAGTAGGTGACGACAATAATGATTTGGATTCCTCAGGATCATATAAGTCATTATCAAGTCGCCACGCAGGCGTCGATATTGTCCACTGTAGACCCCGAGGGTGCTCAGCCTCAATCGGTGAAGGAGATGAAACAGGCGCTTTACGTACTTGTTAGCTCTTCATTGTGGCAGTTCAAGCGCGGTAAGGTCTTGTTTTGCCATGGCTGCCAAGCGTGGATGGCGTACTCAGATGAGGCCGAATGTAGGCGTTGAGCAGCTGAGGAAAGATGGAAAGATCAAAGCGCCCGAATGCCCTTCGCAAAAGGCCAAGGTGTTGGCTAGCTTTTATGGAGGCCTTCTCGGCCTGACGAGAACAGCCCAGATCTTCCTGCACTATCACGCATAGATCGCATTCCGTTGAAGTGCACTGTAACATTTGATCCTCCAGTCTGTATTCACAAGTGGATTTGTGGTGTATGCTCAACACCTTGCACTTTGTAGCGTTGAACTGAAGCAGGTTCTCAGTCGACCATTCGTAGACCATGTCAAGATCATCCTGAAGTGCTGCATTGTCTTATGAATATAAGGTACCTTTCATCGCTTCCGTTTATGCCCCTACTGCCTGAGGTTCAGAGTATCAGAGACGATTCCTAATGTAAACTCCAATCGCTTCTTCGCGTGACGAAGAATACTGATATCGTAATCGTTGTTGCTGACTTGAATGCCCAATCGGGTCGCCTTTCACTCCGTACAACATTTTGGAGGCTACTTCGTTGCCGACGCACAATGGTGATCGATTACTGCAGACGTGCGCCGAACACAATCCTTATAGTAGCAGAACCGCTTTCCAGCACAAACGTTCACGTCGCGTCACCTGGCGTTTACCGAATTCCACAAGGACCTGCACCCAAACTGACCATATGACTGTTAGTTACAGATGGCGCACAAC